AATTTGCAGTGTGTGCAGGTGAATATTGTATTTAGAGAAAATCTGACATTCTCTTTACTCTTCACAATTAAAAATAATAAAAATTAACAAAGTATTGTATGAAAAAAACGTTGTAAAAGTTTTTATCATATAATTCTGCTATAACTACATGACAATAACACCCTAATGTCAAATGCAAACTGATAAGCAAATAAGTACGGGAGTTACAGGGTCATACGTGCGTCAGTAATACATCAGTTTAGGTCGCTATACTATGCTGAACTTTAATCATTATAAATCATAATTAATACTAACAACTAAGACATTTCTATACAAATGTTATCTTATCTATCGCACTTAATCAGTTATAATATTTACTGACGTAATATCTAACGTAAGATCAATCATCATCATCAATGTCTTTACTGCCCTTCACAAGTTCGCTGCTATGAACATAGGCTGTCATCACAGAACGCCACAGAACGTGTTCCTGGGCCAACTGCACCTAAATAAATCAGTGGCATTGAATCTATTAGGAATATGAATGCATTAAGGTTTTCTTTTAGAAGTAAATGAGAAAATAAGGACCCAGATAAATTCGTTACTAGCAAAAACGCTAACGTGAAATAATTACCAAAACCCTATATCGTCTTGTACGTGTCGTAAGATGCGACAAAGGGAATTGAAAAATGAGATGGGCAGTTACATCTCATTAATGACAACTCCAAATAATTAAAAATGTGTTGTAACTATGGCAATAAGACCAAATGGGGCAATCTATGGAGTAAGCCTGAATATAGGCTTTACAGTGAACTTTTGATAGGCTTTAACGACGATGATGATGATGATGATGAAAAACGCTTAACAGCACTTAGAAACGCAATTAGAAACTGAACGAAGTCAAGCCATCAATATCTTTTATATTATAATGACCGCCCTGTGCTTCTTTGTTATTATTATCAGAATCGTATTTTAATTACAAAATAAAGAATTTATGATTATGTCACATTATTAACATCAGCCATAAATAAATTATATTCCATGCCATAAATAACCATAAATACCTATACCTACTTATCTTAATTATAATCAACACGGTATAGGGATATTTTAACAACGCATTAATCCAAGAGTATGTCAATATTTTCTTAGGACATGTATATATCCAACAAACTGTATTTAATAATCTACCATTTTTATATAAACACTGACTTTAAATGATATTTCAGATATTTATACAGAGAAAAAAAAACGCAAGTGGGAAAACTGTATATCATGAATGTTTAATTTTTAAATTAAAAAATAAAGTAAAGTACAAACCTTTTAAAGCGGCTATTAAATAAGAGTTAATAACAAGTAAAAGTACCCGCGACATTCATAACGCATAGTTTGGGCATACTCAGAATGAGGTTGTCAATAGGCTGTTAAATAATATTTTCCCAGGTCCTACTGAGATGTATACAAATTTGTTCTTCTGTAACCACATTTTCAGGAAAATCCCTAAAAGCATGCTCAAATGGATTTAAATCTAGGGATAGCGCTGGCCATTCTAGGGCCACGACATCAAATTTGTGCAACCAGGCTGTTACCATCCTGGCCTTATTTGAACGGGAATTGTCGTGCATAAACAGGATTTTTTAGCCATTTGTGTTGTATGTGGCAAGACTATTAGTTCTAGCATCTCATTACGGTATTTTCCAGTCGTCATAGTGTATCCAAATCCTGTATCCAAACGAGGTCTGTTCTTCCATCAAAACGAATTCCTGCCCACAGCATAATTGTGCCACCTAAGAAAGGATGCACTTCTTGAAGGTGTTGAAGACGGCTTGTACGACGAGAAATACTCCAAACACGTACTCTCCTTGAATCAGAATGAAAACCAAATCGTGTTGCATCGGTGAAAAGCACCAACGACCATTGATTAGGTTCCCAGTTCACATATTCTCTAGCCCATTGTAGTTTTTATCCACGGTTTCTTCTTCTTAGAGTTGGAACCCGATGTGGTCTACGAGCATGAAGGTTAGCTTCATGCAGTCCTTTAGCTTTGTAGCCTTTAGACCAATTGCATCGCCGTAATATTCGGTTGCCTTCTCGTAGTCTCCATCACCTCGCTCGTGGAACGATAGCGTGACCACAACCTAGAAATCACATTTTGTCTCTTGCCTATTGCCGTAGCGATGTCACATTGAAAAGCACTAGCTCGCAGAATTCCCACTGCACTTAACATCTGTTCTCCGGTTAAACGTTGACATTGCATTGCAATAAAATGATAAATTATCACAATCAATCAAATTTGAATCAAAAAGATGTTTAAGACGGTTTTCAATAAAAAAAATACAACTACGATAAGTACAAATTCGCTCCTTCTAGTTAAACTCAATTCTTACCGCCAACACATTTTATTTCTTTTTTTTATTTAAATTTGGAATTAATATGGAATAAATGACGAATAACTTGATATCAAAAACATTTAAAAGTGGCCAGTATTTTTTAGTTGATCAATGCTATTAAAACATCCCTATACCGTGTTGATGTGTTAAAGATAGAATACTCGTGTATAAGTCAAACAATATTTCTGTATGACGTGTAATGTTAAATCTTCTTTCTTTAATTTGAAGTGACAAACGAATTTACAGTCTTGAATAAAACTACTTTTACGAATTTTATCGCGTTTTATTGTACTTATTTTTAATTCCCGACGTTTTGAGTGCTTTCCAACACTCATGGTCACAGAGGCCAGATATGATATACATCCCGATGTCAATTTTACCCCAAAGTACTTTCAGCTTATTAATTATTACGTCTGTGTATAGAAAAAAGACCCATCCGAACCGATATTTAAACGGTGAATCTCACCATCATCCTTCACAGTTAGCTACCGTGAGTAAATGTTTGTTACAGAGAGCACGTGGGATCTGTGGATAGCAAACGTCTGGCCGCCGAGTTTCAGCACGTCAAGAACTAAGATGCAAAGTCCCTGCAGCACCCTTCCTTGGCAGCAGTGGAAGTTCGGTTGCTGTCTAAGACGACTTTATCTGGCATAATATAACCGACTGAGTAAATTCAACTTCGACCGAGTGGGCAATCGACGGATTTATTTAGGCTGGGTAGCATTTGGAAGATTACGACACAACTTCTCGTCCGGCATACCTCAAAACCTGAAGACAAGATTGTATAACCAGCACGTGTTGCCAGTGATGACATGAATCTGAGACGAGGTTCTTCACTACTGGCCGTACGAGGAAACTCAAGGTTCATCAGCAAGCTATGGAGAGGGCTATGCTTCGGGATTCTCTTAGAAATGAGTAGAATCAGAGTAACCAACCTAACCCAACAGATTAGTAAGCTGAAGTGGCAATGGGTCAAAAAGGTTCAGGAGTGGCAGCCTCGTAGCGGCAGGTGAAGTATAGGGCATCCCACCACTAGATGGAGTGACGACTTGGTAAGAGCATGTGAACTCGATGGATGCAGGTGGCTCAGGATCGTGCCTATGTTCAGCTGTGGGTTTGTAAAATGCTGCAATGATAAAAATAATGACAGTGGCATATACTCATCCGATACTAAGTTACGATCCCTAGTGCTGAAGAGGTACACGGGTTTACAGGTCCCAAAGTCCCATGAAATGGTTTTTATCTGGGACGCACACAGGTATATAAGGAGAACCTTATCAGTCAATGCTACGGAAAAGGAAAGGGATCGCGAACCCTTACCATACATGAAGCTCAGGGTCTCGTGAGCGAGACGTTAGTTATTGTGTGTTCAGCTAAACAAACAACACGCCTGTATAACAGTATTTCCCATGCAGTGGTGACAATCTCGCACCGTATGAGTATTTGCGTCTGCTACACAGGTTGGTGTACAGTCACCCGTTTCATTTTGCGCGCCGAGTCTGCTACCATAAGCAGAATCAGGAATTACAACACAAAAACGGCAATAAAACATCGGGACTTACAGGTTGCAAGCAACATCAAGAACGTGGTCCAAGACGAAGTGGTGTAATAATGTTATATTATATAAGGCTATATTGTGATTTCGAGTTTATGAATTAGTAATAAGTATTTTTGGAAATTAAGTTTCTAAATACATAAATTATGAAGCCAAAAAAAGAACATACGATAAATGGTTCCAATAAAAAAATATAAATTACAAAAGAACAGAAGTAAAAAAAAAATAGAACGAAAAGAAAAATGTTAATTAAAAATACGAGACGTGATGTTTAAGCTATGAATTCAATATATGTATAATATGATAATAATCTATATGTAAAAATAAATTGCTATCCCTTAGTCTCGCTAAAACTTAAAAAAGGATTCACCGATATTGATGAAATTGTTGCTGTGTGTTTGAGTGGGTCCCTAGATGGTTTTGACTTTAGATTCACATTTGAACCCGGTTGTGGCGCTGTTGTCGAGATCTAGAAATCACCCGCGTGAAGCCGGGGCGGATCGCTAGTTTACAATAAATTTAATAAAGAGTATGGACTACGAGTTAGAAAAACCTAACCTAACCTAGCTAATAAATGCAATTATTTGTACTTACAAGAACAATATATAAGTTCCTTCTTTAATAATAATCTAATAATTTTTAATAAACCTTTCATATTATGGAAGTGTAATGCATGTAATTTGGACGCATAGTATAAAAGATTATGAAAACTTAATATAATTCAACAATTGACTCGACGCAGGAATGACACACAATCTTAACCGCCCGATGAGAACCGAGAGAAATCAGCAGTTAACGCCTCGCAAGTTGTCATGAAACCACGAGGCACAGCTAGTATTATACATTTAGAGAAGTTTAAGTAAAAGATAATACATTTTATGCATTATATTTTACAAAGACTAGTAATTTTTAGGCTATCATTTACTTCTAAAGTACCTGCCAAAACTTTTTAGCTTTCAATCTCACATTCTACCCAAACAATCCAAATAGCTAGACTCGACTGACAGAGAATGGCATCCCCCTTTGTAAATTCAGCCTGATATATAAATCAATTTGTTTCATTTCCTTTCCACATTCTAAAAACTATACCGATGTCGAATATTATTCAATCTGATGCCGCTCTGAACACTGTTGTCGCTGTGCAGCTTAGATAATGTGTCCAATCGAATTGTAGGTTTTTGCCCGTCTAATAAATTCTGAAAATAAAAATAAAATGTTAAAGTAAATATTGTATACCTTACCACCATTATTGATTTCCATAATCTCAAGAATCCTCCTTTGTAGGATTCAAGGTTCTTTTGGTAAGTTTAGTGCACCGTTCCTAAGTTCTAGCTTGCAAAGTAACAGAGCCAAAATAGTTACAGAATAATTTTCTGTATCCATTGGATTTTTATCTTTGGCTGATTTGCTTTTATGCATGGGCTTTAAAAACAGTTTACAGGCGTACAGCTTTTCTGCCGACTTCCAAAAAGGAGACGGTACTCAATTCGACTGTATGTTTTTTTTATTTTTAAAGAAGAGTTACTAAGCAAATTGGAAATAGCCACGGGCAGCGCAAGCAGCAGCGAGCGGCGCCGCCTCCAGAGGTACCGGTCCGGTGCGCACACATTAATAAATAAAGCTAATATTAGCTTCTATCGAAATTCAAACCTAAAGCATAAAACTGAAAAGCAAAGTACGCTGACTAGAAGCATGATCACATAACTTATAGGTACGTATGTATGTAAAAGATAAAAGGAAAAACTTTTCAAAGGTCCACTGTTGGACATAGATTGACTAATATCCCCACATCTGCTATAGTTGCCTAACTTAGCAGGCGGGTTGGCAACCGAGTTTTTCTATTATTTTGAATTGTTATGAGGAAGATGGTTTTTTATAGAACGAGGATGACAAACGAGCGCACACACATATGTAACTTTTTACTGGGTAAACCGATTTCGATGATTCTTTTGAATTTGACTTCTCGTGTAGTCCCATATGAATTTAATCAAGGTCAAACCAATAGTTTTTGAGTTATTCTTATTAACTTATATTGAAGTCGGCTGAACAAAATTTTTAATTTTTAATTATTTTTATACTCTTTATTTGGCGTAGACTGTTAGTATAGTTACAGTCTAATGATAAAACAGTTTCTCGTTTGTTATATTTTATTGTTATATTTATTATTACTGTATCGTGAAAGCGACGAGTGAACACAAATACTGCAAAAGTGTTTCGTAAGCCACCTGACAAACGAGCAGTCCGTTCGGTTCATACGTGCTTGTTTTACTAATGCTTCTCTTTCTCCTGAGGTAATCCATCTATGAATCTAATTTTGTGTTGTTAGTTACTGAACAACTTTAATGACGGTAAACTGATTTTGGATTTCTAGGTTTTCTAGTTTTTTGGGTTTGCTGGGTTTCTAGTTGTTCCCAGTATTTCCGAACTAGTGGTAAATTAAGCATAAGAGTGACTTTCAATAACAGTTATTTATAATCTATATTGAATAAAAAGTTTGTATTTCTATTTCCTGCACGTGCTTCACCAATTGAAGTTATATCAAAATAGACTGCATTTCAATGCAAATATATCATCATCATCATTACAGCCCCTCACAAGTCCACGGCTAACATAGGCCTCCCCCAAGGAATGCCACAAAGCACGGTCCAGAGCCGCCTGCGTCCATCGACTTCCTGCATATCTTACCAGGTCGTCACTCCATTTAGTGGAGGGACGCCCTACACTACGCCTGCCGGTACGAGACTGCCACTCGAGAACCTTTTTCCCCATCGGTTGTCGGTTCTTCGAGCTGGCATGGCCGGCCCATTGCCGCTTCGGCTTACTAATCCTTTGGGCTATGTCGTTCACTCTGGTTCTACTGCGGATATCGTCATTTCTTAGTTTATCACGCAGAGAAACTCCGAGCATAGCCTTCTCCATAGCTCGCTGAGCGAACTTGAGCTTCCTCATCCGGCCAGCAGTGAAGGACTACGTCTCAGTTCCATATGTCATCACTGGCAACACGCACTGGTTGTACAGTCTCGTTTTCAAGTTTTGAGGTATAACTGATGAGAAGATGTGCCGTAATTTCCCGAACGCTGCCCAACCGAGTTGAATCCGTCGATTGACCTCTCGGTCGAAGTTGGATTTACCTTTTTTTTTACGGGGGGAAATCCGCCTGGGGATAGGCGGAGGGGCGTGCCGGACTCTTGCCGGCTAAAACCACCCCGGTGTCTCCTCGCACGTGCGCGCGGGGCCGCGGGAATCCAAATTCTTCCGCAGCCCCACACTAGTGCTGTCTCGGTCTGTCCGGGCCTCGTCTCCTGCACGAGGTAGTGAGGTGTTGAACTACCCCGTGTATCGCCGACACCCGCGCGCGCCACCGCCTCAGGTCCATCGAATAGGGCTGGCGGGGGCTTCCCCAAGTCCCTCGCCCCTGGACCTATTCATGGGGGCCGGAAAAAGGCGTTTTCCGCCCTTCTCCTGCGCCTTCTGCGCCTGGGGAAGGGAGTCGAGATCTCCCTCTCCCGTTCCTCAGTTTCCTTCTGCGACATCACGTCCTCGCAGAAGGACACCACCGCGTCCCACGACTCTGCGCTACCGACTATCCTCCGCACTAAGACCGGCAGCGACAAATCGCCTCCTACTTCATTTGTGAGGACACGGTGCTGCTCCTCCCAAGCTACACACTCGGCGTGCGTGTGTTGCACCGTGTCCTCCCCGCAATGGACGCAGTGGTGGCACCGAGCGTCCGGCTCCCTGTCTACACGGCACAGGTACTTGCCGAAGCAGCCGTGCCCCGACAGCACCTGCGTCACCCTAAACGACAGGGTGCCGTGCCTTCTCCCGAGCCAGTCGTCGAGTATTGGCCGGATCGCCTCGATGGTAGCGAGGCCGGCGGTAGGGCGCAGAAGCCTTTGCCGCCATTCCGCCACCAAGACCTGACGGAGCTCCTCTCGGCGCAGCGCGATCTGCCGCTGCACCGGCCGCGAGCCCCGTGCCCGCTCTTCCTCGCGCCATCGATACAATGACGCGACTACTTTCGCCTCTAGGTCCCAGGGCGGGAATCCGGCCAGAAAGCAAGCCGCCTCGTAGGAAATCGTGCGATACCCGCGGACGACTCTGACGGCCATCGCCTTCTGCTGTTTGCGCAGAATGGCGAGAGTGCTGGCCGTCATGTACATCGCCCACACAGGGGCTCCATACAGGGCCATGAATCGCACGATTCCCACGTACAACCGCCTACAGGCGGCGCTCGGGCCCCCCAAGTTGGGAAGCAACGTTGAAAGCGCGCCCGCTGCACCCATCAGCTTGGGCGCCAGCCGTCGGATGTGGGGTCCGAATTCCCATCGGCTGTCGAGCACCATTCCCAGATACTTCATGGTGGACTCGACAGCTATCCGGGCCCCACTGACCACGATGTGTGATCCCGGCGGCGGCGCGCGTCGAGGGCCATGGAACACCATGGCCTATGACTTGTTAAGGGCCACCTTCAGGCCCAGGCACCGGATGCGGTTCACCACTTGTGACACCGCAGCCGTGGCAACCAACGCTGCTTCCCTGTGCCTGCTCCCCCGGGCAGTGACAAGCGTGTCGTCCGCATAACACGTCAAGTCGGCGCCCGACGGAAGTTCACCTCTCAGCACCCAGTCGTAGCCGATGTTCCACAGAAGCGGTCCCAAGACCGATCCCTGCGGAACACCGCAAGACATGACGCGCCAACCTGCGCTGTCACGTCCCCGATACGTTACGCATCTCTCCTCAAGGTAAGCCCCTATTGTGCGGTGGAGCTAGGGAAGCACGCGATGGTAGTTCAGCGCCTACCGAATACAACTCCAGGGTAGGGTGTTGAAGGCGTTGGAGATGTCTAAAGACACCGCCAGCACCACCCCACCCCGGGACACTGTCTCCTCCGCCAGGGCCCTCACGCGCGTAATAGCGTCTATGGTGGAGCGCGCCTCGCCATTAACGTTGATACCGTATTCTTTCAAGTCCAGAAGCTTGAAATCATCTTCCAATGCAGCGGTGAAGAGTTTCGGGGATATGACGTCACCCTGTCTTACACCTCTCTGCAATTGGATAGGTTTCGTACTCTGGTTCCGTACTTGGATAGTCATCGTAGCCATACCGTACAAGCACTTCAACACTTCAATATACCGACAGTCAACTTGGCACCGCTGAAGGAACTGCAGCACTGCCCAAATTTCGACGGAATCAAAGGCTTTCTCATAGTCCACATACGTCAGACATAGTGGCAAATTGTACTCCTCGGACTTCTGTACAATTTGCCGAAGGGTATGTATGTGGTCTATGGTGCTAAAGCCTTTTCGGAAACCGGCGTGTTCGGGAGGCTGGAAGTCGTCAAGTCTGCGCGCGAGACGATTCGTAATGACTCTCGAAAACAGAAGGTAGACGTGGCTCAGAAGGAAAATCGGTCTGTACTTCTTCAAGAGAACGTTGTCGTCTTTCTTGAAGAACAAGACCACCACACTTCTGCTCCACGCCTCCGGTGTAGTGCCACCATGGAGGACGGAATTAAGGAGCTTCTGAAGGACTTCAAGTACTGGTTTTCCACCCGCTTTCAGAAAGTCCGCTGTAATTCCATCCTCGCCTGAGGCCTTGCCGTTTTTAAGGTGCTGGAGAGCCATTCTAATCTCGCTCAGACTGACGTCCGGGATATCGTCGGAACAATGTCGGATAAGACTCGCTCTTGGATCGTTACGCACACTCGCGTGTGGCTCCAACGATGACGTGTACAGCTGCCCATAGAACCTCTCAATCTTACTCAAAATCTCAGGTGCCCCGGAAACGATGCTGCCACATTCTGTCTTCAGCTTTGATAGTTGGCTCTTTCTGGCAGACAGATCTCTGGCAAAAACTTTGGAGCCTTGGTTCCGCTCAATCGCTTCTTCAATACGAGCTATATTGAAGTTGCGAAAGTCCCGCCGCATGCATTTGGAGATCTGTCTGTTCAGTTGCCTGTATGCTGTCAAATCTACTGAAGACTGCAGCTTCATATACCGTCTAACAGCCATGAGATTAAGAGTGTGATCGGAGAGTTTTTGTGTTCTTTTGCGGCGGGTCTTGCAAAACTTAGCTCCGACCGCATGGACAGTTTCCACGAGCTTGTCATTCATATCGTCCTCTGCATTGCAATCTTCTAGGCACTGAAAACGGTTTCGTAGCTCGTGTTGAAAGGTTTCTGAACTTTGGATTATAGCACGAGGGGGACGGAGCGTTGACTTCATTAGACTCGACCTCTCCGACTTAACGTTTAGGTTCAGTGTGCCTCTCACCATTCGATGATCGCTGCCAGTTTTCACCCTCGCGATCACTGAAACATCACTGAACAGTTGTCGTCTGGTCGTCATATTAAAGTCAATCTCATTTTTTGTCGAACCTTCGGGGCTCAACCAGGTCCGCTTCCTGTGGGGTCGCTTATGGATGAAAGAGTTCATCATAAAGAGTCCCTCTTTCTCCATGAAGTCGGCCAGCTGCTGACCCCTTGGGTTCCGTTGCCCTATTCCGAATTTCCCTACTTTCAGCTCACTGTTCTCTCTTGTGCCGAGTTTTGCATTGAAGTCTCCCATTAACACCGTATTGTGGGTTTTGGAGGAATGCATGGCTCTAGAGATATCCTCATACATTTCGTCCACCTCCTCATCGGGGTGTGCCGAGGTTGGTGCGTAAACCTGTATGACCTTCAGCGAATACCGTTTGGTGATTCTGAGTATAGGGTACGCAACCCTTTTCGACACACTCCCAATCTTTACAAAGTTGTTAACGAGAGACTTATGGACGATAAATCCGATACCTCCTTGGGACAATTGGTCGCCCTTCCGGTGATAGAACAAGTTGCCGGATTCGAGGATTACCGTGTCCTCCCCCCGTCTTCGGACCTCGGATAATCCTATAATATTCCAGCGCAACTTTTCTATCTCTTCTTCTAGCTCCAGGTTCTTCTCGTCAGTCCTCAGGGTGCGTGCGTTATAAGTTGCCAGGTCGAGTTGTCGTAGGTGGCAACCGAACCTCTACCGGAGATTCTTAGCACCCCCTTCCCCGCTGTTACCATGGTCGCCACCGTAGCCAGGAACAGCGGGGCCGCCTCTTCATTACTCTCATCGGGGGTATATTGCCACAGTTGCTACGCTTGGCGAGCGGGATGGTAACCGCAGTTTTTTTAAATTGCTCTATATATATGCATTTATATTTATTTAATTAATAGATTGTGGAATTTTGTTTGCTACCGTTACTTTTTAAGTTGATTTGAATTTTTTTATAGGATGGGTTGACAAAAGAACACAGTCCACCTGATGGTAAGTGGTTGCTGTGAACCATACACATCTACATTTATCCTCAATAAAAATCAAAATGCAGATGCGTCGTCACCCGTGAGGACTACGATGGAATGCTCTTTTCCAGTAAAATGGGTCTCCGGTTCTCTACACTCACCATGCGAGTGTGGTCCTTCACCTGTCGAGCCGATCCATTCGTGCTACAACTACACTACTAATATAGCTGTAGCATGCTTTACCATTATAAAAATAAATAATTAATGCGATATGAATAAGAATGCTATACGCGTCGGTGAAGTTGAAATGAAACCTTTCGTATACGAGTAATGTACTTTTTCCTATGATTAATGGAAGCTTATAGTGTAATTTATCAAACATAGTGTAAATAACTAACTTTTTCGTATATTAAAATTCTAGTGTTAACTGTAAAAAGTGGAAGCACTACTACTTCTTGGGTATTTTAGGTACTGGACAATAAATTAATGTAAAAATATTAAATGACACAAAATTGAGAAGGGATAAGATAAAGAATAAACATTTGAAAACATCCTGTAATTATTGAGAAGATGTAGGTATAATGTTATAAATCATTCACCGCAAATTTAAGAAGTCATCTATGGAGAACATATCCTGCAGTATTTATCGGTGCTTTCGGAGCTGGTAGCAGTAGGTAATCAGGAAATTCATCACAAACGGATCATCAACGGTCACTAATATAAGACTAACATGACACTAAGATTACACAAATGTATTATATTACTTTACCTGCTAGTGCTTAGCATAGAAAAGCATAGTGGAAAGTTCATTTCAATTTTCAAATAAAAATTTTTGCGCCTTAGATCGGTACTAGTTTTAATCTCGTCGTGTACGTAAACAGCATAAACTAGTCACTAGTCTGTCAACGATAAAACTAGTCGAGAATAAAACTGTTATTTTTTTTATTCTACAATCATTTAAGGGACATTTACTACTTAGCGTATATCAGTCCCACCATACCCTAACATACATCACTAACTCATATAACGTTAATTACTATACTACGTGGGCCATGGATTCAAACAGAACTTTCGCATCGTCGCCATTTGGTTGATATAAAATATTATGTTATGTACCTAGGTCAGTTCTGTTCAAAGTCAATAAACTGTTTTATAAACTAGTTTAGCATAGGTGCTTCGTTGATTGTAAAACCGTACCCGTTTGATGTATCAATCATAAAAAATCGAGATTTTGTTTTGTGATGCTAAAAAATAAATCGGCAGCTTCATTGATACGTGACTGCGCCACGGAGATTGATCGTTAGGTCAAAGACAAAAGTCTTAAGATATGTGTATTATCATTGCAAAGTAAATATCAGCACATTCATTTACTTGAACCAAAAATAATTATTAGGTATTTCTGGAAATAAACTCTTTTACCCGCATCTTAACCGGTGTCAATTGCTGTGTCTACCACGTGTTTTTAAGAAGCAACTAAGCTGCTAAGTGAACTGGGTCTAACTAATATTTTTTTACAGATTTTTATTTCAAGAAAACATCTTTAGGTAAATGTTAATTTTAAATATTTCACAGCTAATAATATTCGGGAACAGAACTATGTATTACAATCATGCTAAAAAAAGTTAATAAATACTCTGCATTTATGGGTTGTGCATAAACAAGTGAAATAATAAATCACAATTGAATTGTCATATAATTTTTCGTGTTTTATCTGTGTGTAATAGTTTGCTTATAGCACCTAAATTAAAATGACACCTCAAAAACGCGATTGCAAATTAACATAGGGTATCATAAAATAAATATATAAGATCAAAATATCATAATAAAAATATCTTACTTTGAAGGCTTGCTGAAATTTCCGCGACATAAGGCTATATAGAATAGGATTGACAGCTGTTGATAAATAGCCATTGACTGTGCTCATGTATACGAACACTTTCCATGTCTGAAAAAAAAACGTCCTTTATCCTCGTGTCATATTGTATTATAGAAATCAGTGATAAAGATCTTTCTTTGCATCATTTTTTGCAGAGTTCTGTGTTAAATTCTACTAAATGTATATAATAATAGGAATATATAATTCTGTTTATCTATACACATAATAATCTACTCATATAATACTCGTACATCAACATAAAAGTCATGACTGTGATTCTATTAATTTATAGACAAAAATAAGTCTAGTTGGTTTGTAACGTATAAAATATAATGAAGGGTGAAATTAATTATTAGTAGAATTACTTTTTGTTTGTCTGTTTCCTGTTCGTCTGTCTGCTTAACCTAGCTATTCAAGCTTAAGCTAGGCACCGGTAAAAAATCCCTAAAATTTGGTACAAATTGAAATGAAATAAAGTTTTAGATAATGACTGACTTTCCAACTGACAACATACGACAGGTCTCGCAGAAAGGTTTCCTAAAGAAAGTTTTACAGGCCAATTATAATTCAGAAAATACGATTTACAAGGACAAATATTAATTCTTCAAATTTCAAATTGCCCTATACATTTTTTACGAGCTACATTTAAATATCGTATTTAATGGAAGAATTGATCTGCGTCGGTAACATTTTCACGCGATGATGTTGTGTGAATATTTGGAAAAGCTGTTTGTTGTATATTTAATTGACAATCGATTCCATAATTTCCTTTTCTAAATGTTTGTTACTAAGAGTTGAAATTTGTTAAAAAGGGTTGTTTAAATTTGATATATTTATTTTAATTGACAATCACTTTGAGTGGTGCCTATTTTTAGAACAACCCATTAATTAATCTTTATATATAAAAATTACGTGTCACATTGTTTGTCCGCGATGAACTCCTAAAGTACTGAACTGATTTCAATGAAATTTTGCACATTCTGTGCATTTGTTCCAATTTGAGAGATAAGATAGTTTTTATTCCGATAAGTGACCCTCAATTTTTTATTGCTACTTTCGGGAGTTTATTTTAGGAAAGCAAATGGTTATCGGAATGAGCAGAAAATACTGATCACTCCTGTTCAGAAGTTCCATAAACAGATAAAAAGTATTAAGATTTATAAATATGGTAGTTATTTGAAAAAAAAATACAACGTCATCCCGCTTATATATAGGTAACAGAAATATATACATGGTTTTTCATTAAGAGTGCTTGAATTTTGAAATGATATAAAAGAACCTATGTTAGTAATACTGCCCCAATTTTTATTTCATTTTAAAGTACATTCAACGGAATATAATTTTAGCCCAATAGCCACCGCGACTCCGCTGTAGTTGCTGTATCCTTTTGGACCAATTTTGGATGAAATCTTCGCAAAAATGGAGCTCAATTTCATGAAGATTTTAGGCGTTATATTGGCCTGCAGGGCGGCAATTGCTTATGGTGAGTCTGCATAGATCAGAAATTTTACTTAGTCCCACAGAAAGTAGTCAAGCGGTGTTGATTCACATAATATCGATGGCCAGTTGATGTCTCCACCACGCGAGGTGGCGAAGCTCTCGAATTTATTATGCAAAAAATTCAACGTTTCCCGTGCAGTATGGCAAGTGGTGCCGTCCTGTTGGAACCACATGTTTGTTAGGTCCATACTATCTATCCTAAGCCACAAATAATATGTTATCATCGTCTGATATCAGTCGCCATTGACAGTGAGCGCGGCTCCTTGCGCATTTTCGAAGAAATAGCGCAGATGATACCGCCGGACTAAAAGCTCCACCAAGCAGTGACTTTTTCGTAGTGTAGAGGCACCTGATGAATTCTCCGTTGGTTTTCGTCGCTCCAAATCCTACAATTTTGTTTGTTAACAAAGCCATTCAACCAGAAATAAGCCTCATCACTGAAGATGATTTTTTTTACCAAAAGCAGTATCAGCCACCAAATGCTCTCAAGCTCAATCAATGAACACACGGCGCTATCTGTGGTCGTTCGGTTTTAGTTCTTGAGTTAATTAACCTCGTATGGATGCAAACCTAGAAAATCCGTCGGGGCTGCCATTGCCATCTTTGTTCCCAAATATAGAATAACTAAGAGATGCAGAAATTTATTATTAAAGACTACATTTATTTACGCACCCAAAGTAATTTAAATTAGTTACAAACTCATAAAAATGCAAAATTTTTGTTAATTTCAGGGCAGGGAATTGCAGCCCCGAGTGGTTTTCTTATGATAGGTGTTTAAATATGTGTAATATGTATATTTGATATTATTGCCGTGTTTGTCGCTACGACAAACAAATATACCTATATATTTATTTGTACAAAGGTAAGAAGGGCTTATGAAAACCATAATAAGTTGTTCATTATGACAGATATCGCTACAAATCAACCCTTTTTAAATCGATTTTTATTTTTACCTTTCGTGACTTACTACCTTTTAGTCGAGGGCTTTTGGAAAAAATTATTTAATCCTTTTTCGATTACAACTTTTATATCCGTCGTGGGATTTTCAGATTTTTTCTAGATATCTGTCTATCTCTCTATCTACTCAAGAATTAACAAGTGGGAGACCTGAGCATGAAACAGATTCAGCTACTTCTGGAGAGCACTTTTGTTCCTCTAGAGGCAAACTTTGTCCATGGCGAAACTGTTCGGATATATCCCAACTTACAACTCGTTAACACTTACAATTAGACACTGTTAACAATATGTTAATAACAATGAAATTGTACTCAATAAATACACGAGATGAGTCTAGGGAACCTCACAACTTTGGACAGAAACCTCTACCTGCTTCTATTCCAAGAGATCCAAATAACGCAAGAGGTCTAGTATCACACATAAAGTTAGGTGTGGGTACACTAATGATGTTAAGAATGAACATCAAGGTCAGCGATGGATTAGTCAATGGAAGTAGGTCAGCGAAAAAATCACTACAGCGAGTGATTTTTTTTATTGCAGCGCCATCTGGCAAGTAAACACCCTAATATATCCATAACATCATATAGAACCATCGCCGATAAATTACAAACCATTTACAGTTAACGTACCTAAATCGGTAAAACGTTTTAGGGAACATTAGTTTGCACAAATATGTATATTGTTGTGTCTTCTGATGAGTTAATACCATAATATTTATTTAGGAACCATCGCCTATGAATCATAAACTCTTTACAGAAAATTGAATCTAAATCAGGCAAACAGTTTTGGAGACAAATGGGAACATTATTTTACAAAAACATGTTTACGGCGGTGCCCCCGGGCAATTCAACACAATATCACATATCTAAGGAACATCGCCGATGAATCACAAATCCTTTACAGAAAACCGTACTTAAATCGGTCAAACCGTTTTAGAGATAAACGGGAATGTTGGTTTGCACAAATATGTTTATTGAGGCGCTCTCTGGCATGTTAATACCATAACTTATATCTAAGGATCACTGTTTATAAATTACAAACCCTTTACAGAAAACTGTTTCTAAATCTGTCAAATTGTTTTGGAGATAAATGGGAACATTCTTTTGCACAAATACATTTATTGCAGCGCCCTCTGGCAAGTTAACACCTTAACTTATACCTAAGACCAATTGCCTATAAATCACAAACCCTTTACAGAAAATTGTATCTAAATCAGTCAAACCGTTTTGTAGATAAATGAGAACGTTTGTTTGCACACAAGCAAACAAATAAACAAACAAACAAACAAGCAACCTCTCACCGAAAACTCTTCAAGACGGCCATGAATGCCATAAATTGCATGCAACGCAACGTACCGACGTTAGGCGAACAGGGCGCTGATTTTGAAAATAGATTTTAAAAATTATACCGCGTTATTAAAGCGTGTAGCGATCCATGGTGAAATATCAATACTAAATAAATTCTCTTTTCACAGCTATCACTTTTCCAACATGGCATACTGAAAAATTATTTTTAATATAAAATTAACATCTAAAGAAACTAAAATACTTAACCCTCCCTTCCAACAGTGTCTTAATCGGATAAAAAGTAGCCTATAAATTGTTCCGGGTTACTAACTACCAAGATATCAAATTTCATAGAATCGCCATTCATGACTACACAGACTGACAGACAGACAAAAATTTCAAAAATACAACGAGGTTTTTGGAATCTTTTATTATCGTTCATTTATTCCCTGAACTTGTTTTTTCCAATTTGGAAATATCATAATTACAGACACGACTTTTCTACAGATTTATTATTATGTACTCGTGTGTACTCGCTTAAGGCTGCTGTGTTTCGTATGGTGAGTGTAGAGAACCGGAGACCCTTTTTACTGGAAATGAGGCATTCCATCTTAGTTCTCACGGGTGACAACGTATCTTCATTTTGATTCTAATTTATTTTTTAATTCTAATCGAGGATAAATGTAGATGTCTATGGGTCATAGCATCCACTTACCATCAGACTGGACTGTGTGCTCATTTGTCACCCTCATTCTATAAAAAAAAATACATGCTACGCATGTAACTCGTGACTAGTATTATTTTATTGCTGATTCAAAAATGTTCAACAAGCAAAGTAAACTTCTGGGTCATTATAAAAAAAAATTGTTACAATTTTAGCTAATATTTATTAAGATCAGATAAAATCAGTTATAAAGTGTTACTTACTTTAGAATAATCATCTTGTCTCCATCGAGGTATGATCAACATTAACCGCAAAACACAATATGGAAACCAACAGAAGAAGAAAGAAGCAGCAACGGCAGCTGTAATCAGTAAAACATTAAATATCAAAATATAAAAATTCATACAATATGCGAATCACGTCCACAAACAAAATCACGCAGAACAAATGTAATTCTAAATACGAAAAATTGTTACCTCATTTTTTTTTAATTTTAAATTTTAAATTAATAGCTTTGAAATCATTCAAAGTATAGAAAACGTCTCTTTCATTACATTACTTTAACGACTATTGCATTCACCAGGTGAAAGAAAGAAAGTTACACATGAACAAGCGGTTAAAACATTGCTGCTTAGTGGCACTTATTCCTTGTTACCAGAGAAACTAAATTATAGTAAGTAAACCTTTTAAATTCATAAACGTTAATAAACGTAATTTTATAAGAGTATTCATTTTACCGAACGGCACTACGATAGGAATTTGTTAGGGACATGCTACGTACATCAGCACTGAGGGTACAACATCGTGTAGTAATGGCTTAAGTGGCCACTAGCTCCTATTATCCCGTGGGTATCGTAAGAAGCAACGAATGGTAATTAACACGAGATGAGCAACAGCGTTTTCCTGATTACAACTAAAACTATAAAAAAACTGCAATTGCGAAGCCGCTAGCCAAGAGTGGCATCTTTTTTTTTATAGGATAAGGGTGTCAAACGAGCACACAGAACACCCATAGCCTCTACATCTATCCTCGATTACGAATCAAAATGCAGACGCGTTGCCACCCCTGAGGACTAAGATGAAATGCCTCGTTTCCAGGAAACAAAGTCTCCGGTTCTCTACACTCACCATACGACACACAGCAACGTTAAGCTGCTATTTTACGCTGGTATTCTGTGAGAGCGTGGTCCTTCCCTGGTCGAACCGACCCATTCGTGCTACAACCATAATATAGCTGCAGCATGGCTCTACCACGTAAAAAATGTATTCAATTAGATACTCATTCATTACATACTATCAAAAGTCTGTTGAAGGTAGACCTCCACAGTGAACTTTCCATAGATTGCCTCTACAGAGGGGATACTTGCTATAAATTTTATTACGTGGTAGAGCCATGCTGCGCCTATATTAGTAGTATAGTTGTAGCACCAATGGGTCGGCTAGATCGGGGAAGGACCACGCTCTCACAGAATACCAGCGCAAAATAGCAGCTTAACGTTGCTGTGTTTCGTATAGTGAGTGTAGAGAACCGGAGACTTTGTTTCCTGGAAACGAGGCATTCCATCTTAGTCCTCACGGGTGACAACGCATCTGCATTTTAATTCTTAATCGAATATAGATGTAGATGTCTATGGGCCACAGCAACCACTTACCATCAGGTGGACTGCGTGCTCGTTTGTCACCCTTATCCTATAAAAGAAAAATACATACTACCGGAATTAAACATGTCTTTCTATTTATTTCTAATTATTTTAAAGGGATATTAATACTATTATGACTGAAATATTAGGGTAATTTCCGTTGGTTCAATCGGAAGACAAATCAGTTGGCCAAATGGATTTTTATTTTCGTTTGCCTAACCCTTTTAACGAACAGGAAATTGTATTTCATTGATCTGAGTTAAATTAAAAAAAAAACTACAGTCATAATGGAAATATTTTAAATAATTAAGGCGATACCACATTAAACAAGCATAAAGCCACGTCTCCATCAAAAATGTTGACAACAGTTATGTTTCCAACTGTTTCCAACAAGCGTCTCCACCGAAGGAACAAATGTTGGCAACAAGCGTATTCCTTTGATGTTGCCGCCGAAAATGGAAACAAGTTGCCAACAAAATTTGTTGGCAACTTGGCGTCTCCACCAAAAACTTTGGTGGAGACGCGGCTTAAGGAACAATTAGTACTAGAGCATAACTATCTACTAATAACTCTACAACTTAACTAAACTACTTGTTAACGTTGAATATAAGATAAAATATAAAATTGTAACGATCCATGACTAATTGTTAATAACATAGGAGTTTATGGCTAGAACAGAGTACCTCAGACTACCTCCTGAATCAAAATTCTGGGTAGTTTAATTTAAAATTTATTTTGAATTACGATACGCATCGTACGTTCTGATAATTATTAAAGTCTCCTTCAGAAATCATGAATTAATAGTGCAGGAGTTAAACGTATAAAAACTACAAAATTATTATCTTCATTTGAGCAAGTTTGTGCTGAACATTTTATACTTTATAAATTTACGAGTGTAAAATGTAAAATTATACTAACCCAACATAGTTATTGCCTTGTCCCTGTTCCTTTTTCCATTAGCAGGACTACTTTTTAGCTTCATATTCGTGTGTTTGAGTTTCAACGCTATCAAAACGTAAATCACAAATATAACTGTCATCGGAACTATAAAGAAAATAAAAAGGTCAACTGTTATAACAATCTGCATTTGCTGGCTGATCTTGTAAAAGCAGTAAATGCCAGTTTTCTTCTCAATAAGAATAATATTATAAACTTGTAGCATGCTAAACAAACATGAGAGCATCCAAATAAACGCTACAATCTTAACGACGCGGGATGTTAACAAAAGAGATTGGCGCTGAAATGGCTTGGTAATCACTACGTATCTCTCGACAGTAAAAGCGAAAATCGTCAATGCACTGCAGTTACTGAGACAACCCCACAAGACGAAGTGAATTCGACATCCAATTTCATCAATAGGAAAATAATCTGGCATCCATTTGATATAAATCTCAACAGGAATACATAAGGCAGTTAAGAAGTCGGTAACGGCGAGATTGAATAAATAACAGTTCGTAGGTGTTCTCATAGAACGATCGCGAATAATTACAGCGCAAGTACATATATTTCCCACAAAGCTCAGTATAAATGTTATTGTTAAAAATCCACTCATAAAAAATTTTAATCCAATATCTTCTTCATACATGCTATCAAATTGTTTCATATTTCGATATCTCAAATTAGAATCGTTAATGTGTTTACTGGTTATATTAGGCAACACCATTTTATCTTGTATAACAAAATATACGATAATGCGTAATAAATTGCCCGATCGTAGTAATAGCGTTGTATCTATCACGCGTTACGCTGTATGACGTTAGAGTAAGACTAACGATGTGTAGGACATTTTTTCGTCACTTCTGAAATAATACATGCTGTTTCAATTTATAAAAATTGTATTTTTTGAAATGTGTAGCGTGACTATTAATTTGTAATAAATCAAGCATTATGCATACATGATGTGCGTCTATTAGTGGAACTTCTAATTGCCTTCACCGATCAATTACAATATATTTGTCTTGTAAAGACGATGGACGGTTCAGAGCTAATATATGTTAGGACAGCAGTAAAACGCCACTTACGGAAAAAAAGAACATCTACCGAATCATCAAGTTTATTATAAAATGATAGTCACACGTCATAGTCAGAGATAGTTACACATTTGTAACATTACGTGGGGGCTTTGAGCATATAAACAATTGCTCTTAGCGTGAGAGTAAAGCACTTTAAATTGCGATTATGAAACAATATTACTTTAATGAATAGGAAAGTGGATCCTAGTTTACACTGAAACATAATCTAGGACACTCTTACCTACTTTTGCCGCTACAAATTCTCAGGAGTGACGATGCATTTCTATGTTCTTCTTTGTTTAAAAGTCGCAGGTCTTATAAGCTGTAGTTACCTATAAAATGTTGCACTAGCACATTTGACACTAATATTATTTTTTTTAAACTCATTACTATATATTTTAAGCAAAACAAAAATGTTATTATAATACATATTATGGCCTTGCGGTTGCAGCGTATGCGAACCAATCACCTCATTTAATCATGTTCAAGTCCTAGGAGGCGACTGCGAAATTCCAGAAACATCGACGACTGAAATTTCGTATAATACTAAGACCGGCGTTGGGCAATAGCGTCAAAATTGCAGGACGTGTGGTGGATCGTCAATCAGCCTGCCAATATGTAATGCCTACAACTGGAAAGGGCCAACAATGGATTTTGGTGTGAGATGAAGAAGATAAAATTATTAAATAATAGGATGACCTCGTTGCCATTAGGGAGTGGGATACCTTACGATTAAACGCGCAAATTTTAAATTGTTATTTCTGATTTTGTTGTGATTGCATATTCTTTCTTTTTAAGTTATGCGTTATGTCGTACATTAGTAAGTAAGCCTTTGTATTTGCTCGTAGTCTATATCATCTCTGATATCCTACATCAAAACAGAGTAGAAGACTATAACTTAGTTTAACAAGAGCGTGCTGAAACTTAAATCAAGATTTTCCTTGAAAATTTTTAATTATTTTTTGCAGATATATTCAACATTATTCTTTCTTAAGAAGTAAAAACTATCTCCGGTTCTCTAAACTCACCATACAAAACCTGGAAAAATTAAGCTGCTATTTTACTCTTATATTCTATAGAGCGTGGTCTTTCCTCCATCGAGCTGATTTTTGCTACATCCATAATATAGCTGCAGCATGGGTCTACCACGAAAAACTAGGAAGATTTTGAATAAGAACATTCTTTAATGTTACTTACTTTATTTGATATATACAGATCACATGCGCACTTGATATTTAATTTCGACAGTATTCAGAAGTTGTCACCGTATTAAAAATTAGCAGGAAAGTACTCTAATAAGATTTTTCATGTTTACAAGTTTTTTATTTGAATATCTTTCTACTTTTCTGTTGATCATTAGTTGAGATGATCCTAGTGAGACTATTTGGTCATAAGGTATTATTTAAACATAAGGACAAATTGTTGCATTTTCATTGGTTCTCATACTTAAAATTAAATTCTAATTTAAATAAAATTCTTCATTATTAAAATTTATTATAATTATGACGTATGACAATGTAATAAGAAAATGTAATAAAAGTAATAAAACTTGATTTTTTCTAATCATTTTTTTTAACACTTAGACTAACCTAATTGATAAGATTTGAACTTTCTTAAATAAAAATTGACTTTTTTAATAAGCGTTAAAAGTAACATTAAAACGAAGGCGTTTTTATGAACACCATCAATAAAAAAGTAATTGAGTGTACCCAAACAAGCGCTCAAATTGATTGCATTTATAGAGCGACTCTACAGCTACCCTAATTGAAAAAACGTTGTAGTACAGTCATGCGGTAGAAAATTGGTACCAATATTTTATACCATTTTTCCACCATGGTTTAAAATATTTGATCAAAAAATGTTAACATATACACAATCACCCACACGCGCATGCACACACATGCATGCATGCACGCACAAGAGAATGAGTTAATTTATTTAGGAAGTGTATTTAGCAGGAATGATAGACAAGACGAGGATATTGAACAAAGAGTGAAAATCAGGACATGGAAAATAGGGTTTGTTATTGTCATGAGTGCTACCGGGCCTGGGCTAACGCATCAACGTCTCGGGATGTAAACACAAGTATAATTCCGCCTCCAGGTCATTCAGTTTTATTGCCAAGGCAAAGTCAGTGCACATCGACAGAATTGGCGAGAAACTAGTTCGCCTTCCTTCGGGAACCCGATCATTCTGGTCTCTAGCCAAGGCTGTTCAAGGGAACTTCTGTCTGCCATCTCTTCCATTTCTGCACAGGGATGACGCCTCACTGACCGATGCCGCAAAGGAGAAAGCCGATCAGCAAGGCTCTTTCTTTGCGTCCATCTCGACTCTTGATGACGAGGGGAGGCACGCACACCGCCGACCATCCTGCGGTGTGAGTGCTCCATGCTAGATGTGCAGTTCAGGCCTATCGCTATCAACTCCTTGGTCTCCAAAATAATGAAATCCATTATATAACCAGCTAGATCACCAGCTGATTAGTGACCATCAATGAGGTTTTCGGGGTCGATCAGCTGGTGATCCTTTGGTCTACTTGACTCATAGATGGGCGCTGGCAGTAGAGTCCAAGGGGAGGCATTGGCCGTTAGTTTGGACATTTCGGAGGCCTTCGATCCAGTTTGGCACAAAGCGCTTCTAGCGTTTTGTCGTACTGACCACTTTGATCTGAAATATCTCCTATTTGGTTAAGAATTCCAAATTCAAATTTATAAAGTCATTTGGCTGGTACATTAATGTTTTGAAAACAGTCACTCATTATTTTTTTCTTTGGCGTCGCTTATTACCGCACAATGGAAAACATGAAATATCGGTATATTTACGAGTACGAGTTCTACCGTGGCACCAGTGCCGCAGAAACAGCTCGAAGGATTAATGATGTGTACGGCGCTTGTGTCGCAAAAGAAAGCACGGTACGTTTTTGGTTTCAACCTTCAGAACCAACCCCGTGGACGGCCGAAAGTGGAAAATGAAGAATTAAAGGCTATTGTGGAAGCGGATTCATCACAAAGCACTTCAGGAATAACTGCAAGCTTCGGGGTAAGTGATAAAACTGTATTAATCCACTTGAAGCAAATCGGGAAAGTAGAAAAACTTGAACGATGTGTACCTCATGAATTGAGTGAATCGAACTTGCAAACACGTGTCGACTGCTGTATACTAGTAACTTTGCTCAACCGACACAATAATGATGGGATTTTAAATCGAATTATTGAAATAATTATTGTGATGAAAAATGGATACTGTACGATAATCGGAAGCGCTCGTCGCAATGGTTGAACCCTGGAGACCCAGCCAAATCTTGCCCTAAACGAAAATTGACTCAAAAAAAGTTACTTGTGAGTGTTTGGTGGACTAGCGCCGGTGTCGTTCACTACATCTTTCTAAAATCTGGCCAAAGGTTTACGGCAGATATCTATTGTCAACAACTGCAAACCACGAAGGAAGAATTAGCTGCTAAACAACCGAAATTGGTCAATCGCTCTAGGCCACTGCTGCTTCACGACAACGCAAGACTACACATTGCACAACAAACAACCACTAAGTTAAATGAACTACAATTGGAATGTCTGCGACATCCACCGTACTCCCCGGACCCTGCTCCTACAGATTACCATTTTTTCCGGAATTTAGACAACTTCTTACAAGGAAAAAAATTCAACTCCGATGCGGCAGTCCAAACCACCTTCAAAGAGTTTATTAATTCTCGCCCCCATGGTTTTTTAAGTAAAGGGATCAAAGAACTACCTATGAGATGGCAAAAGTGCATAGATAACAACGGTGCTTTGATTAATTAAATATATTTAACAAAAAAAAATTACTTTATATTCCTCCTGTACAAAACGCCAATTTCATATGTAAAGACCTAATATATTATAATAATTAACTGGAAATAAACTTTGAAAAATAATATCTTGAATTTGTAGAAGAAACTTTTTCTCCAACCTCTAATAACTCATATTATGAAATCAATTTAATCGCATATAAATAAATGTATTAATGAAAACTCTTCATAGTTTTAACTCCATTTATTGTTTTGTATAAACTTTAAATAATACAATAATATAAAAATAAATTATTTGTAGTACAATTGAATGTATGCATACACCAATAAATATTATATGGTAAGATTTTACAAAATATTTGGTAATGCTTGTCTGTTATTATATACAGTTCAATTAGATTTAGCTGTAACATAACATCATATCACGAAACTTACTTCCTATTCTCTCACATAAAACAACAATAACGTATTATGCAGACTTTTAAAAATTATCACAAATCCGGTCACAGTCCATGATATAAAACTAAGGACTACGCTATTGTGACTAATTAACCTTAACACCCACTCTTATCGATCTTATAATTTAAAGCAGGGCCCAAATTCAAGTTATAGTTGTCCGGTTGGTTCATTCTTCCTCTTTGGGGTTTATGATTTTTGCAATTTTCTTCTCGTCCATATGAACATCACGGTCGTCCCAACCCCAAACACTATGACTCCCGTCACCCGTCCTCTTTACTCTCTTTTCGATTACGTCACTTGATACAGTCTTCAAATCGTAAGCCCACCCGATTTTAGCCATAGTATCAATGAATAGCTTAGTAAAGTTTAGAGAATAATTCCCCAATTCTGCGGTTTTGTAGTCCCATGGGAAAGTGTGATGGTAGTTATGGAAGCCTTCTCCTAATACGACTAATGATACAGGTTTGGTCTCTACTGGATTAATGTGTCTGTCATAGGGCTTAGAACCCCATAAATGAGCTACGGAGTTAACAAACCAGGTCACATTTAAAACATACACATAGCGGAATATTGCACATACAAAGAAAGAATTCCACAAAGTTTCACCCCAAAGTGTTGGAATGTATGTCGGTAGAACAAAGCAAGCTAACGGCATGAGAGTTAAATAGTACCTGGAACAAAAGAAGTTATGATTATTTTTGACTTTTTCAACAATTTTTCTGTATTCTTTATTAATGAAAAATTAAACCTAAGAAAAAAACTGACAAGAAACTACTTAATTTGCTTCAACAAGTATTATTTCACCAGTTAAATTGTTAATTGTAATTTTAAATTAATTTAGAACGTATTCGGCAGTGAAGTAACTAAGCAAACTTGCATGATTGAAAAATAAAAAAATATTTTTTGATAACATGTGAAGTCGATAAACTTGCATTATTTCACTTTCTTGCCCTAAAACTCTATCAGAAATGAGAAGAGGCCTGTGCCCAGGAGTGGGACGTATGCGGCTGTAACTACCCTTTCTTATTACAAATTGAAGAACTGAATTACATTGCAACTGTAATAAAAATAAAATCCATTTAATTAATGAATTACATTCTTTTTCTTATAAAGTAAACTCCACACCACATTTTGAATTTTAAGTAAGTCAAACGGAAGTACATTTGTAACTGACGTCACTATACAACATGGTTCCGTAATGAGGTTACATCGATGGTGTCCTTGTTATTTCTTACTTCAATTCTATATATATTAGGCTACAACTGAATCAAGAATATACAAAAATCGTCACTGGCTTCCTTTATATATAAAAAATTGTCCGCCGTATGAACTTAAAAATTTAATATGGCAACATCCTACCTAAAAACTAAAAAGGTTAAGTATTATTAGTAGCTTATTCAGTGAGAAAACGCAGCCAGCATTCTTGCACAAATTAAAGAGAGCATTTCTTCGCAGTATACTGCGTAGAGTAGGACTGTATAATGGTTTTATTTTTAGTTATTTTTATTGCAAATAAAAAGAGGTAAAAATAAAAAGGGGTAGTCGGTATTCTTACATCCCGTAGTGGCGGGTAAGAATACCCACTACCCCATATCTAGCTGTGGGTGTCGTAAAAGGTGACAGATGGAAACTGAGACAGAAGATGAGCAGCAGTATCTTTCTGATAACAGCAAATTACAATAAAAAAACTGCGGTTGCCAACCCGCTCGCCAAGCGTGGCAACTATGGCATTATACCCCCCATACAACGCACGTACCCTGAGGACTGACGAGAAGATCCTGGGGCTGAAGAAGAGATTGAGAAGTTGCGCTGGGATATTATAGGATTATCAGAGGTCCGAAGAGAACTTGTTGTATCAACGCAGCAAAGATGTGTGTGTGTCAACGAAGGTTGCGTACCTTATACTCACAATCACCAAACGGTATTCGTTGAAAGTTATACAGGTTTACGCACATTACGATGAGGAGGTGGAGGTAATATATGTGGATATATATAGAGCCAAGCATTCCTCCAAAACCCACTATACGTTCTTAATGGGAGACTACAACGCAAAACTAGGCACAAGAGAAAATGGTGAGCTGTCGGTGGGGAAATCCGAGATGGGGCAACGGAATCCAAGAGGCCAGCAGCTTGCCAACTTCATTGAAAAAGAGGGACTCTTTATAATGAACTCTTTTTTCCAAATGCGGGCCCACAAAAATGAACCTGGTCGAGCCCTGACGGTTTGACAAAAAATAAGATTAACATTATAATGACGACTAGATGGCAACTTGTAAAAACTGGCAGCGGTCATGGAATGGTAAGAGACACACTGAATCTAAACGTTAAGTTGGTGAGGTCACATCTAATGAAGTCAACGCTCCGTGCCTCCGTGTTCTAATCAAGTGGCCCAAAAACTTTCAGCTAGAGTTACAAAATCGTTTTCAGTGGCTAGAAGACCGCAATATAGTGGACGATAAGAATAACAATCTCGTGGAAACTGTCCATGCGGTCGGAGCTAAGTTTTGCAAGAGTCGTCGCAGAAGAACAGTATAAAATATAATACTCACTTCTTTTGAAAACGGAGTACAGGATCAGCCCAAAGGTCGCCCATATCAAGTGTTTTTCCCTTCGCTTTTATCTGAGGGTGCTTCTTCACTAAGAGCCATCCAATATGAGAAAAGAAGAAGCCACGTGTTGCGTTGTGAGGATCAGCATCCGTTTCAGAATATTTGTGATGCATCCGGTGGTCTCGAGCCCAGTCCAATACAGAGTCCTAAAACACAAAATTATAATGTTAAACTATTTTTGCCACACAAAAAAATAATACATAATGTCCTGTTAGCAATGACGGTAAAAAATAAAATAAAATATGAAAAAATGAAGGTAGAGCTATAATTTAGCACTCGTTCTAGCAGTATAAAGTAATTCTACGAGCCTCACTGTTGTTATTATGCCCATTGGTGCATTCTAATAGTGTACGAGTAGATAAGGAAGACCGTTTTGTTGCGAGGCGGCTGCCCTGTGTTACATTGAGATGGGTGGTGTTGCTCTTGTTTTGCATACTTTGGTGTTATCATGTAATATGGTCCTTCACGTTACACCGGTGTGTGATTGTGATGTGAACATGTTACGGTTGGTCGAACTGTATTGTTCTATGCTGAGTTTATGGTGCAGTGCACTGATGCGTAAGCGGGAGAGCAAGTTGAGCATCCGCTCTCACACATTTGTTATTTTTGGCAATTGGCCTCCAGAATGGTTTCTAATGGTAAGGAGTGATTGTTATCGAGTAGTATTCTTTAATTTAAATAAGTTTGAGAATAATTTCAAACATCAGAAGTGGAATTGAAGTTTATTTCTTGAAGCTCTAAATTTTAATTTCTATCAGTTTACACATTATTTATTTTATTTACTTTTATTACTATGTTAGATAATTCATTAACCCATTTAATTTATATAATAAATTTATCATAAGAGGCAACTATATGAACGATCTCATACACTCAGATAAATAATAGATAGTGAAATAGCGTCTAAATCATGTGGAATTCAAAAACACCGACAAAGATATTGCCATTTCATCTACTAAGCATAAAAATTTCGGCAATCCTCCTATCTGGAGTATCTTACATCCAGCAATGGACTTTTAGTCACTATTTCATAAAGAATTTTAAAAAGATAAATCAACAGATAAGATAGAAAAGAATAAATAAATGTAGGTATATTAAGACCCTAATTGTGCACTTAGTGGAAAAATAAATAGTTCAAGCACATTGAGAATAATATAAAAGAAACCTATAAAGAAACGAAAGGAAAAGAATTAGTTATTATCGAATCGAATATGTTTATAAAACATTACGGGTTCAAAAACAATAAATAAATTATTTTATATTTTGAGAACAAGATTTCAATCATAATAAAAACAAAGTGTGAAACGAGGTCAGTGTTAAAGTACATATTAAGCAAGATATCATTATGGTTCATAATTATTGGCTTTTGTAATAATATTTAGTTTTCTTCTTCAGGCTTTTAGGCGTTCGGGCTTCTTTTATCCCAAGGATTTCGTCTGAGTTGTTGCCATACCATCCCATCAACTCGAAAGTAATTCTTTTCTGAATCTTTTCTGCCGTCAAACAGCAGGAGTCTACCCATTTGCTGAGTCCCAATTCTTAGTCCTCCAGCATGACAAAGCATTTAATATTTAGCTTGAAAATAGTTGCAGATTTTCATGTGCGGCAGTGAACATTTACTACCAGGTGTAGTGTCAGCTCATATATCGCTCTAATACTATATAAAAATTGCAACTCTGGTTATATCTGGTTATAACGACCCGTTGCGCAGTCATCAGAATACATAGTTGCTACGCAATCTTAGATTCGAATACCAGTTTGCAGGCTGCGATTTTTAAGAGAAATGCAAAATATATACGAGGTATCTCTATTACCAAGATTAAATATTTAATTAAACAAAAGCTGTATAAAAAGGGTTATTATAATATAAATGAATACATGGTTGATAATAACCTCTGGGAATGAGGTGGTCATTTGTAATCATTTATATTGTAAAATTTATTTAAAAAAAAAGTCCCGCTGGGTTTCTTGCTGGTTCTTCCCAGGACAGAGGATTTTTTTCGAACCAGTGGTAAGGTAAAAAATGACTTTCAATAAGAATTACTTGTAATCAATATTGAATAAAAAATTATTCTCTTCTATTCTATTGATATTTTGACCTTTCCTTTACTAATATCGGTATTACGATTGCATTTCATCGTTTGTTTTTGGTTTCGTAAATATGAATATTACTTCGTGTTACATCGGTTTTAGCAATTGATACTGATCTAAACTCGCTATAACAAATAAGATGAATTAAATAACCCATTAGAAATCAATATAAGATAATAGAATAAAAAGCTTAAATATTATTCTATGACTATGTGATGTAAGAGGAATTACATTAAATTTTACCTGTGTGCCAACCTCATCAACATGCAATAAAACATGGTAATAAATTCCTGGTTATCAACAAATTGAAGAAAATCCAATCAAAGTAGACAAAATAATATTCTGTGGATATAGTGAGCAGAAGCGAAATTACAAGTGCAATTATTTATTTATGTATAGAAGATTAATAATAATGGATGAGTAATATTTAGGTTTTATTGAAAGTCAGATTGTCTGGTAAATTAAAAACATGACAATAAGATAATGATAACCCGATGTAATCTCCAGAATGTCATTTGAAGGATGTGGAAAATTTTAATGTGAGAGATATTAATGTGACGACAAATTATTGACAGCATTATTAGTTGTAACAAACGTAAGCAAACGTTAAGATATTGTTACGATATATCTCTATACTGATGAAAGTTAATCCATCGCGTGTAGATCATTCCAAATGACATTATGTTTATCGCGAGGTCGGGGTTAATAGTCCGATGATAACTATATTAAACGTGAGTGATTAACGCATGCTTCCCACGTCTTCTTCTCAAATGACTCGTGACCAAATTAAAACTATAGAACGAAAACTGATTATAATGTGATGCTTAATAATTTCCTACCCATCTTCATCACATCATTTTAAAAACCTTTTTGAGTTACTGATGAGCTGACACTTCATTACTCATTTCACCACACTGGGTTGGTGACCACGCAGAACTAATACCCTCGCTCTATTGATGCTGCTTTAACCTTCACCACTCTATGTATGTCTCTAATTTTTTTCTACCCTCTATTATTGAAGTTTTGCAATTTTGAGTGCTAATTTACCATGTGCTCGTATAAAGGGAAAATGTTAAAACAGGCATATCTGATAAAATGCACAGGCGCAGCGTGGCGAACTCTTATTTGCCCTAAAACCCTCGAGTGGAGGCGTGTGCCCAGTTGTAGAACATATTGGACTGTCACTTTACTGTTTCGAGTTTTCATAGTATATAATAAACTATATTACTACTACTACTGATGTCGCTACGCTTTTGAATCTTGTTTAATATAATATAAAAATGAATTTTTCTTTGTTTGCCTCATATGCGTTTTATACCATTTCTCCGATTACAAAACATCTTTGATTTGTTATTGCGAGCGCCCACAAAGGCGTTTTACAAAGGAAAGAACATTAGTTTGTTTGAATGTTCCTTTTCTATCCTAATAAACCTTGATGCTTATATATAATATTGTGTATTCACCCATTCCCACTACTATTTTTTTTTAATTTATTTCTCAACCAACAGCGTTCTAAATATTTTACATTAAACGATATTATTCTTATAATAAGGCCAATAACAGGTTTCCTTTAATTACTGAGGCATAGCATACTACGGTCGTAATAATTAGTATCAGTTGGTATACACTCAATTTTACACTTATAACATTAAAATAATTGCACCTGTTCCCTCAGGCAATACCGCACATTTGACAAGTCTCATACACAAATACATAAACATATGTACATGCACACTAATCAAATCAGTGACAGCACACACTGTTCAACAGTAACAAATACACACGAATACACACATGTTACCTTTTTATACACTAGATTAGCAGTGTATTATTATTATTCTTACTTTACTATAAATATCTTTATTTATTTTTCTTTGTTTTTCTTTCTTTACAACAACTAAAATACATATTATACACAGTTCATAAGTACAGTGTAACATAAACTTATATAAGATTTTTCTGCACACTGCAGTTCGCCGTCTTTCGAGCGTAAACATTTTAATATTATTTAGAGTAAGAAGGTAGTTCGCTCGCTTCTATAACAATAACATGAGAATGAGTTGTCGTGAAGGTTTGGTTAGAGTAGTATACAGGTTGTTCGGAGGAAAAACTATTTTTTAATATTATTGAAATATAAATAAAGTAATTATATTACAAATAGTATACATATCGCACCTTCATTTCGAAACCGTTACTAAACGAAATTTTCACGAAATTGAGATAGTAACGTCATTTTATTTAAATCGATAAAATGTACAGAATGAATTAGACAGGTCTATTTATATCCCAATACTTTGGTAGATATCGTTAAATTAAAACGCTATTAAACTGAAATTTAAAACATAACTACAAACGAAACCGTTACTACACCAATTGTAACCTATCCCTTAAGGAGTCGACATACAATTTTATAAAAAAAAGTGTAACTATTTTTTTTTATAGAATTAGGATGACGAACGAGCACACAGTCCACCTGATGGTAAGTGGTTGCTGTGGCCCATAGACATCTGCATCTATCCTCGTTTATGAATTAAAATGCAGATGCGTTGTCAGCCTTGAGGACTAAGATAGAATGCCTCTTTTCCAGTAAAATGGGTCTCCGGTTCTCTACACTCACCATACGAAACACAGCAGCACTAAGCTGCCATTTTACGCTGGTATTCTGTGAGAGCGTGGTCCTTCCCCGGTCGAGCCGACTCATTCGTGCTACAACTAAACTATTAATATAGCTGCAGCATGGCTCTACCACGTAAAATTTGTTTAAGTACGGCTGATTTTGTCATTGAGGTAAATTATTTACTTATTTTTATTTGATAAAGTGTGGTTTTTGGTTTAGTCACAGTTTTACCTTAGAATGTATACTTTAATTCTTCAAATTTAGTACCATAAACTGTTACTTTTTTTCTTTTTAACTTACATTCTGGATAAAATGACGACATTGAAACGGCTCCTGAAATGCCATCTTGTTTAGAAACTGAATCAACAAATTGTTCGTGTACTTCTGAACCTACTGTGGAAACTAACAAATCTCCTCTTGAGATGCAACAACTATTATTTATTATATAATAGTATATAGTATACAAATAGTATATATTATTAGTTTTTCTTCATTATTGATTCATAAAGTACGTTTTTAATTTTTGTTTAATATTTTCAGGATTGATATCTTCCTTTAAGGTTTTAGGTAGTATCCCGTAAAAGTTTGCTGCTAATAGTGGGCCCCTCCGGCTGTATTTAGAATTTGCCTAAATTGTCTATACCTAAATGAGACGTATTTATCGCAACAAGAAAAACAATAGATTTGAACTGTTGCATCTAAGCCTAAATAAACGTTCATGCACCGCGAGCTAACAATGGTCGAAAACATTTTTGAAACTGCTTGAAACTAGCACATCTATGTTCTTGCTTAGGGAAGAGGAAAAAAGATAGAACCTGTAACACTGCTTGTAAAATGCATTGTCATATTCAAACACTCACAAACGTTTTAATGTCAAGACCACTATTACTGAATTGGACTAATTACTATTGAATCGGATAGGTTAAACAAATATATACTCGTAATAACTGATGCAATATATATTTTTGCTCTGTCAAGATATACAGCCGACTAACAATTAATTAATTTTAAAGTGTTACATTGCAATTCCAAAGCAACGGTAACACGACAAATGTAACAGGGATTGACTGACACAGCTTAAAATCTTGTTGCAATCTAATAATCTTTCAAATCAATTATTATGTAGATAATATTATTCGATTATTGAAATAAGTATATTATAAATCATTCATTCGATTATTACAACTTAGAGTTAGTAATTAAATCGCATATTTAAATCTTTCATAATTACACATAACGAAGCCCGGTGTATATCTAATATGAAGTTTGAAGACTAACCTGAAAAGCCATTGTGTTAAAAACAGTGAGAATTATTCGTAAAGGCAGTTTAGCCTTGTAAGATTTGTGTGCCCATAGCCTGTGTGCTCCTGCCGTGATGCCGAGACCAGATGATAGGTACAACGCGATTGCTGTAAACAAAACGGAAATGAAAAATTATTATAGTAAAATTAAAAGCTACTTGGCAGCATAATGCTTTTTTAAACAAGTTGGGGTAAACAAACGAGACCACAGTCCTCCTGGAAATAAATAGATGTTGCAGTCTAAAGACACATTTCTATCCTCGATTAAGAATCAAAATGCATGGTCACCCCAAAGGACTAAGATAGAATGCATAATTCAATGACGGTTTGTTTCTACTTGTTTGTAATGTAACTCTATTAAATACAGGTTTGCAGGTTTTTACAACATTAAACAAAGGAGTAAGAATTACGTCCGATTTTGCGGAAGTACGTGTTATTATTGTGTAAAGACGGTTATTAACAAGTTTTTATTACATTGACCTGTATTTAAATATAAGTGTGTATGTTTCTATAGATACTTATATGTATATATATATGAATTTAATTGAACTTTTTAATTTAGTTTTAACCAACTTCTGTACGTTCCATTCAGATACAAAATTTTGTAAACGTATTAGGCACAATACATTTAAAAGAATAATTTCAGTACTGTGACCTTCACCAGGATCATCATAGCTCATCAATGAATCTTCTGTACGAATATTATTAAATATTTTTTATTGTAATTTTAAAAATTTGAACTTACCAAAAAAACTTGTAAACCACATTGCCTTAAAGAAGAATAGATATGCTCCGTACACTCCACCTAAGTGTAAAAGTGAGAAGAGTATGACATTCCTCCACACAATCTCCCATTTTCTCTTTTCCGCGCTAGGG